CAGCACCTGCGGACCCTGCAGGCCAGGAGGAGCGGGCTCCAGACGCCCCAGAACCTCCGCCCTTCTGAGGCCCAGTGTTTCCAGAGTTGAGGGGAGCACGGAGAGGGGGTGTTGAGGAGGGAGGAGAGGACGGGAGGCCAGAGCTCAGCAAGTGCCTGGTGTGTCTGTGTGACCGACTCGTGACCGCGCAGTCGTTTGAGGTCCCTGAGGCTGAGGAAGTGAAGCGGGACTGAAAAGGACTGGGTGGGAGCACAGCGTCTTGGTTTCATTACCTGCTCCTCCTGCTGGTGCTGGCAACAGAGAATCATCTGCAAATATGGTAGCTGAGGCAGAACCAGGATATATGGAAAATAAAGGGACAAACTTTGACAAGAGAACTCCACCGTTAGAAGGGAAAGCTGTGTCAGGGAAGGGGAGGCGGGGAGGGGAAGGCAGAGGGCAAGCGTGACCCAGGTCTGAGGGGCGAGGGCAGCCGTGCCCGGGGCGGTGGAGGAGAAAGGCTCCCAGAAAGGGCTTTAACCTGGCCCCTTGTGACATCTCCTTCGCGACCGCTCGTGTTATGTGCGCTTGTGTATGTGCTGTGTGCCCCTGGCTGGCCCTGGGGAGGACGGGGTGAGGGTGATGGTGAGGAAGGGGAAGAAAAGGAGAGGGAGGTAGTTTCGGGGGACAGGAAGGAAAATGGGGGTGTTACCTGGCCGTCCTGCTGCAGATGATGGTGAAGGATCTGGGAGTGTGGCTGCTGATGAGGGGTCAGAATGTGCATAAAGGGGGCGGGTGGGTAGGCAGCAGCTGTGGCCGGATTGATGGGCCCCCCACTTCCCAGGGCTGAAGGCAAGTTGAAGGAGGCAGCAGGAGTACCGGAATGAAAACCTTGTTTCTCAAAGGACTGCTATCCAGGACGGGAGGAGAGAGAGCACAGGTCAGCAAAGGCTCCTGGGAGCTCCTGAGCCCGAGCCCCCCCCTCAGGAAGAAGCAAGGTCCTGGCACACAAAGTTAGGTGGTTGGATCTGGGCCCGTTCCTACCCTTTTAACAACCCCAGGCAAATGACTCCACCTGGAAGCCTCAGTTCCTCACCCATATGCAGGTCTGCTGCAGACCTCTGTCATAAGGCTCAAACCGGAAGCTAGTACAAGTGCTCTGTAACCTAGCGTCATCATGAGCACAGGGAAATGCACTGGCTGTCCTGGTCTCCATGCCTCTGCAGCTGCGTACATTATTACAAGTCCTTGGGCACTTAGACACAAAAATCACACACACACTGAGGTTCCCTGAGTGTTCCAAGGCCGTGGCTATGGAGCACCCCCCAAAAAACTCTATAGCGAACTTCCTAGTGATGAATGAAGGATAAAAGCAACAAAACACAGACCTGTGGATAACTTCGCAACAAATGCCTCCTTTACGGCACTGGGTGGTCCCTTTTCCCATTCCCTCTCCTCGTGGTGGGTTTACTGTCAGAATGGAATGATCTAGCTTCCTTTCATCCCTGTCTCTGCTCTCTTGGAAATGTTACCATGGTTGAGTGGGTAAGGGATAAGGACAGCTCACAACAGCGAACCCACACCTCACCACACCACACCATTAGGATTTTCCTGCTTCTCAGAGGGCTAAATTTAAACTCCCAGGAAAACTGAAGCTAGAGGAGTGAAATCTTTTCCTTTAGAAGACTGGATGGCTCCGGCACCTCTCTTAGGGTTGCTCTTGCCTGCTGTCTTCTACCACTGCAGCTCTACCTCCTGAATCCGTCTTTTCTCTACTTCCATCTACAGCCAGGCACCTACCTGGGTTTTGGAGTACACAGAACCCGAGATATCTGGCACGCCCGTGTTACTGGAGGTGACTGACACACCTGGGGGAGGAGGAAACAGACAGGAGGGTTAGCTCAGCTAGCCGTCTCACCTGATCACGCCCCAGGATGAAACGAGGTCTGCCGCCTGTCTAGCTGGAGCACTGGTCTGTTTCTCCACCTGTCCAGCTATGTGTGGAGTATCTATGAGAAGGAGCTGAGCTGTTGAGGTCCAACGATATATTACATTTTTGATGGAGTAAACTTTTAATATCCATCTACTGGCACTACACTCAGTTCTCCTGAAGATGTGGATACTTTGGCTCTTGGTGTACACTAGAACTGGGCTTAAAACCCCTACCTCGCAGCGTAAGATGAAATCGAAGGAGCATCACCATCCCGACAGCACCTTCGCGCTCACAGCCTCAGCTCACACTGCCCACCCACCACGTGCCATGCCTTCCCACCACTGTTCTGTCTTTAGGGCGTCAGGGCCGGAAGGAGAGTGGGTTTGCATTTACACACACTAAACGCGGTGCAGGGAAGGGAGGTGGTGCAAGACAGGCCATCTCCTGTAGCCTGTGTCAGACACAAAAACCTAATGTAATTTTAGTTTACAACTTCAGCTTCTCCAAAAAGTAAAAGCTCTAGTCTAGACTATACCCCAACTGTACCCCAACCTGCATAAATATTAAAGACAAACAAACAGGAACTTGTCGTTTTTCCCATGCTCTCAGTAGACCTTCCCCTCAGAGACAGGCCTGTGCTCTGCTGAGGACTGATGGTGAGGTTCTCAGCAGCACGTTAGGCTGACCAGATTACAAAGACGCAATCCTCCATTCGCCTACAATCCAACAGTAGCCCTCCTCGGATGCCAGAACCCAGGCTCCTCCCAACCCCTGCCTACCGCAGCCTTCCCAAATCAAGCCCCACGAGGTCACATGAGCTCTTCCCAGCAGGAATGGCACCCTGACCTGGAGAAGCCCCCACGCCCTAAGTTCAATTCCAGGGAGGAACAGATGCCAATGAGGAGAGAGCAGAACCACAAAAACCAAGCGAGAGAAAATACTTGCCCATCTCCAAAGTATCAACTGTGTATTCTTAAGGCACCGAGGTAAGAGAAGGGAACGATACAAGAATTTCTTAGGAAGCCAATGGAGGTGGGAGGGCTTCCCCTTCCCTTTTCAAATCCCCAGTTGCCCTTGGAGCAAAATACTGGGTAGCAGCCTTCATTGTAAGAACAGTTCAGTTATGGAAAAGGCAAAAGCTAATGAGGCGTGTGTGGAAGGGTTGAGACTGAAGATGGAATAAACAGGACATAAATAGAACACTTTAAAGAGAAACCTAACGACAGTGATTTATCTTTTCTGCGAAGGCCACACAGCTGCCTTGGTCACTCCATGCAGAACAACACTGGGTTACCAAGGGAGGATGGAGAAATGATTCACTGGGCTCCGAGCTGGGTGCCAGGGAGAAGTGCAGTTCTATCTAGTATGTGCCTACCTGGCCTGTTTTTGTTCTTTTCTCCAGGCAGGGCTAGCTGAAAACCAGCTTCTAGTACAGAGGCCTTATATTAGATGTGGGGTTGAAAAGACTGGAAACACGGGGAAAGACGATAATGGCCTCAGTGTGAACATCAGAGACCCTAGAGACAACAGATACTGGTTTCCCTACTGTTCACTGCAGTTTCTAAAAAGACGCTCAGACTAAAGGGCTCTTGCTTTCCTTCCAACAGCAACACGTCCTGCCTGCCCTTCCCAAACAGTGAGGGTCACACCGACACAACGTGGATGCTGGGGAGACAACCTCTCATCACAGCTGCCCCAGGAAAGCTGGTCACATGCCACAGGTCAGAACTGCTCCACAGGGCTGGGGACAGACACAGGAAGCTGATCACTGCGGGGTTCAAGGGTGATGCGCAATGGTGCGCTAGCTCGTGGGCTGCAAGGGGCTTCGTGTCCAGTCAGGTCTGGGCAGACCCCACACATCCTCAGCTATGCCCACAAGTGCACATCAACTCATCCACAATCTCCAAGAAGCCTAGGACTGAACAATGTTAGGACAGCAGTTTCCAGAGTGACTCATCAATTAGCCGATCACAAATGACTCATCTCAATCAGCTAGTTGCCTTGGGAATCAGACGTGGGCATCAGTTCCCTAACAACAGCTTTGAACACCATCTCTTCAGCCTTCACCATGACATGCCATGCTATGCTTTGTTTTTTCCCTTCTGTTTATGTCCAAGGCAAATGGAAAAGTGAAGAGATGTAAACACAGGGAATCAGGGATATCTACAAGTATTTTCTTTACCAAGCAATCCACAGAGTTGTCTCCCCCCACCCACTTAAAAACCACCACACTGAAGTTAATGGCTCTGGCTATGCTGGGGTTTGGTGAAAAGGCCACCCTCCACCCTTCACTCTCAATACAACATTTGTTCCTAGTGTCCAGAAAGACATGCACGGAAAGAACGCCAGAGTTAGCTAAAGAAATACCACAGTTTATTGAAGACTACAAATATTTTGTTACAAGTTGAAACTACATGCCTTCCAGAAATCAAAAGCAACAGCAGGTGTGTGCATTGATGCTTCGGAGGTGCTGCACCGCTTGAACTCGAAATGGGTAAGACAGGGTCTGACACGGGGACAGGGAAGCAGGGGAGGGCAAGCCCAGAAGGTATCCACCAACTCATTTCCCCAAGCCACGCAGGCATGGCCTCAGCTCAGCAGGCTCTCCTCAGTGGTCTGGTTTCTGAAACAAGACTTCAGTGCAAATTTATACACACACACAAAACACAGCCCCCAGCCTGGGCCAAATTAGCTCTCAGCCGTCCAGAAATGCTTGTAAGGGGGTGGATATTTTCTTCCTAAAAGGAATCAAATACATAAAAATAAATGAATTTAGAGGTTGATGAGTAATGGAATGACAAGAGCCCTCTGTGGGGTAGGAACTGGGGATTCTCATTGGGCTGTTAGATCAGGGTGTTGAAATCTTGAAAGAGGTGAGAAGCTAGGGCCTCCAGAATCAGATATGCCAACTCTCCTAATTTACCAGCCAGCCACCTACTTCATAGTCTCATACCTGGGCAAGATAAGGCGTAAACATAATGCTCTTGGAATGGGGCCACTCCAAGTCCAGTTTATAATCCTTCCACACCAAAGTCAGGGAAGACTGCTCAGTGAGAGCCACAGGAGCGTAGGTATTAAATCTCAGTGGGGCGCCTTAGGATTTTAAAATTTAAATTATGACCCACTCTTACACTGTACAGCACAGTTCAAAGCTCTACCTGGCTGATAAGTCTCAGACTCACTGTGTTCTATGCTCAGATTAGGCAGCAACCCAGTTATTGAAAACTGGCTAATTTACGCCCTGGACCCCACACCAGGGTGAAGAACACAAATCACCAGGAAACTGAGGCAAGAGCTTTTAAGGACAACCTTCAACCCCAACCCCTAGCAACTGCAGCAACCTCCTCCCCATATGCACCTAAAAGTCACTGAAGAAAAAAACAAAACTGTTTTATTCAAAGACGACTCCTTACTCCCACCCTCCATGAATGGAGCACAGAAGTCAGGTGTGGAAGGAAGGGGTAGGCTGAGTATCTTTTGGATCAGTAGAAAACCAGAGAATCCCTACACTTCCCTGCCTGCTGTCAGGTGTGCAATGGACCATGCATGAAGACCAGTCATACAAATGAAGGGACCTAGAGGTCCAGCTCTCCCAGACCAATTCTCACTCTACTGAGTAGTCATGCTTTCTCCTCTCTCCATGTCTTAGGTCTTCCAGCTAAGAAATAAAACTAAGAGACTTAAGCCAAACCTACCATAGCCTGCCAGCTAGGAAAGACAGCCCTTCTCTCCCGTGAACATGTCCTCTGTGTACTATCAGTGACAGTTGTCTCCACTGACATCTCGGCAGTCTTGGGGCCCTGCCCTACTTCTCACCCAAAGTTTAGGGCAGATGATGTATTTTACTGGCCCTCATATACCCTAGAGAATTCCCATCCTGTGAAGCAGACACACGCAGCAGTGTGGAGCTCCTCTGATGGTGCTGCTCCAGGCACTCGAGTTGGTTAAGCACCAACAATCCTATGTGACGAGCAGCACACCCTTGCCAACCCCAAATTCTCAAGCACCAGTCTTTCTCCCTGAAACTCACTTAGTAACACCCCAGAGACCACTAAGGCAGGGCCACGGGGAGCTTACCAGTGTTGTATCCATGAGACCCATATCCACTCGGCTGTTGGAAAGGGGTGGCCGATGCATTCACACTGACATTCACACCATGCTGCTTGGAAGAGGTAGGAGCCACCTGAAGAGCAAGAAGGCCAGAACTGCAGTGAAACGCAGCGTTCACTGGACTGTCACACCAGTCCTACTCCAGAGTCTGGGCATTCAGGTGGCTACCTATCCTCATGTAGGCTGGCCACAGTTTTACTACAAAGTGAAATGGGATTCTTACTAAAGTTTTCAGATTCTAGCTATGAAGCTAAGAGGTAGTTTAGAGGAAGGGAACGGGGCAGGGGAAGCAGGAATGAATAATGGTCTGAGGGAAGCAAAGCTGTATGGTGGTACATTTTAACCTTGGGGTAATTCTAAGGCGGCTGATCCCCTATTCTAACTCCAATTCCAGCTGCACTCCCGCTTTCCAGGCCAGAGGTAGAACTGTTCCTCCTCATCTGTTATGAAAGAACCCTATGGTTTTGAGAGCTATAGTGGCCAAGGCTAGCACCCTTCACCACAAGGGGACCGAGGCCAGGTACTCACAGGGAACACAGCAGGCCCATACTGGAAGGTGCTGGGGAGGCCCGGAACCCCTGTGTAGTATGGCAGGCTGGTATAGCTGTAGCCAGGAGGCAGCGCCGGGTTCAGGAATGTCTGCTGCGTGGTGTGGTGAGTCTGCGTCTGGTTCTGTTGGGGCTGGGCCAATGTTGTGGCCGGAGCTGGGGAGGAGGCATCCCCACGGCCAAACTTTGTGAGGTCACCTGTGTCGGGAGAGGCTAAATATACCTGTTTCTACCACCCAAACACCAATGCAGAATGACCTCCTCTGGTTTCACATGAGATCCCAAGAGGTCCCACTAAAGATTTTTAAAGTTTCACTCCTCAAACTGCATTTCTTTGCAGCTCCGCTTGGCACAATGCTACTCAAGGCTAATGCTGAGCAATGTGCAAGGCTGTGGCAGACAGTGCCTACCAGAACAAAGCTGTGGTATGATTTCCCAGACTCCTGGTTTTCTTTCCTCTCCACCCCTCTTCCCTCCTCCTTGCTCCTCCATGAAGAGTACTCCAGGCTAGACTTGAAAACCAAGTCCTATCTAGTATGGTCTTGAGGCCACAAGGTGTGGCTCCATGGCAGACCTTGTGCTTCTCATGTGAGACACCCTGGGTTCGGTGCCCAGCACGACACAACAGACAAATGGTTCATCTAGAAACCACAGGGAGACAACAGAATAGGATTTAAAGGGAAGAGACGTCACGTGCCCATTTTTCACAAGATGGTGACTAAACCCCCATTCTCCACATCCTTTCCAATTTTTCACCATCCTGTGGTGAGACCTTAATTACAAGAACCAGGTCCCTTCGTGCTACTAATGTGGTTTCTGCCAATAATCCTTTTACTCAGCCCCAATCCAGGCCTACCAGAGTAAGGGTTGCTGGCCAGGCTGCCATCCCTCCCAGTCAGTGGAGTGGTAGGTGTGGGAAACGGGATGCTGTAGTAATCCTAGGGTGGAGAGATGAGAGCAGAGTCAGTGCCACTCACTCCCCAGCAGGAGGGGCAAGGGGCGAGGAGCAGGGGATGTGGGAGCGCTGCGGTCCACCCAGCCACGACCCAGCTGGGCAGAGCGGGCAGGAGCCCCGCGTCACTCTTGCACACACTGTCCCCCTTGCCTGACCACAGAGAGCACCGGGCAAGGTCTACATGTGTGCCAGTGGGTGAGCACATTAAGGGCTGTAAATATTTAGCTACATCAAGCTTATTTTTAGAAAACAGATCTTTCATTTTGAAGTTTCTGAAACATACAGAAACATCTTGAGAGCTCTTAGGTTACAGACGAGTTTACACACTATCAAAAGATGTCACATCGCTGGGGTAGGGGAGACACAGATGAATGGTAGAGTGTTTGCTTAGCATGCTTGAGGTCTTGGCTGATCCCTAGTATACACACACAAAAAAATCTGGGAATACTAGCACATGCCTCTAGTCCCAACTATTCGGGGGTGGAAGCAGAAGGATCACTTAAGTTCAAAAGCTCAGGGCCAGACTGGGCAACAGTGAGACCCACTCTCTTTAAGAGAGGGAGGAAGGGATGGGACAGGTGGCTGTTGCTCAGTTGGCAGAGAGAGCACTTATCTAGCAAGCGTGGAGCTTGATCTCTAGCACTACAATAAAAAATAAAAATAAACCAGAAGTTAACATAGGTAGTCTATTTGGCTTTGAGGTATTGTTCAGTAGTAATACACACTTAGAATACAGGAGGCTCTGGCTTCAATTTCCAGAACCAAGCACCTACGTTCTAATGTATGTATGTATGTATGTATGTATATATATATATATTAAATTAAAGTATATGTACGAAGCTGGGTGTGGTGGCACACACCTGTAATCCCAGAACTCTGGAGGCTGAGGAAGGTGGAGCTTAAGGCCAGCCTAGGCTACATAGTGAGTTCAAGGCCAGCCTGAACAACAAAGTAAGACCCTGTCTCAAAAAAAAAAAAACCCAAAAAGAAAGAAAAACAAAACAAAACAAAGCAAAGTATGGGTACAGAGGTAAACCTGAGGGATACCTAGGTCTCTGACTTATCAATTGCACATATTGAAGCTAGTCTTCCCAACATAAAGATCTTGCTTTTCCAAAGCTCTACCCCATATACTCACCAATGGAAACCTTGTCTGAAGCATCTGCAAGTCATCATAACCATACACTTGTGGCTGAAAAATACAGACATGTAATAGCATTACTTGGAACTGGTCGGGATGGTAGCAAAACAAGAAGCCTAAAGGTAGGATAATTCAACAGAACAGCTGGGAATTTAGCTCAGTGGTGCTACTGCCTGCCTTGCCAGCACAAGGTCCTGAGTTCAATCCCCGGTACCAAAAGAAAACAGAAGATTCACCCTCATTCTTAAACCAGAACAGATCTGAGTTTCTTTAATGGAAAAGAAATGAAGTAGAAAAGGTTAAGTGACTGATGAAAGGTCTGTACTTGGATCGCATACTACTGATCCAACTAGGCTGGCCTTGGGCAAAAGCAAGGTAGACACAAGTACAAAGCACAGGTGGCTTTACTCTCTATACAACAAGTCTTTCTTAAGAGGCTTTAAAATCAGGTTTAAAATGTTATCTCCCCCAGGAAGGATTCCTATTTAATTTTTGTTTTCTCCAATTTCTAAATACCAGCATGTTACTACTGAAACATAGGTAACAAATGTGCCAAGGATTTAGCTCAATGGCACCACGCCTGCCTCACAAGCACAAGGTACTGAGTTCCATCCCTGGTACAAAAAAAAAAAAGTTATAAGAAAGACAATGATAAAGGATGGATAAAAGGGACAAGAGGATGGATCTCTTCCAATAGGGAAGTGGTCTGAGGGAACAAGGGCAAGGGGTGAGGCAGGAAAGGGGCAATGAGTAGACTAGAAATATGCCATGAACAGGAACCTAATGACCTCAGTACTGTATGCCACAACATGAGCTGAGACAAACAGTTATCAACAAGAATGGAAATGAGGGTGGGGAATGAGAGGGAGGGGAGGGAAGGAGATTGAAAGAGGCTGTGGTGAGCACACATACCACTCCCCAAAATGGCTACAAACTGCACATACTGCAAATATATAATAAAAATTTTCTTTCAAGTTTTAAAAAAATGTGTAAAAGTGCTATGTGGATGTTTCGTCTGTTTGTTTATCTCGATTTTTTCTCTCCAAGGGCAAGAACAAATTCTTTGAAATAGAATTTTTATTTTTTGGTACCGGAAATCGAACTCAAGACCTTGCACTTGTAAGGCAGGCGCGGCACCAGTGAGCTAAATCCCCAGCCCTTTAATAGTTACAAATTTCCTTCATCTTAATAGGTACTGAATTCCTAGAGGTGCCAGAAGGTGTGCCAGGGCAAAAAGCTACTACTCTCAACCATTTATTCTCAGAAAGTTTCAGACTGAGTCAAGGAGCTCCATTTTGGCCAGCTTGGAGCCAGCAAAGATCCTAGAGGTAGGAAATTGATTCAATATAGATAACAAAATAAACTAAAAAAATTCCAGGGAATTTTCTGCTGTCACACTGAAGTCCAGAATTTGTATTTCACACCAAGAAGACAAACAATAGTGTTTAACCTAGGCTTAGTCCCTCATAAGTATTTTTTTTTTCAAAATTACAAAGATTAAAAATCTGCTGTGGGCCAGGGATGTAGCGCAGTGGCACCACACCTACCTTGCAAATGCAAGGTCCTGAGTTCGACCCCCAGTACCAGGGGAAAAAAAAACCCTGCTGGGCATCACAGCACATGCCAGTACTCAGAAGGTGTGAAGGATTTTCGAGATTTCAAGGCCAACCTGAACTCACCCAGTCTCAAACAAACAAAAACGAAACAAAAAGTTTAAAAACTCAATTGCTTGTAGTAGCAACCACTCATTTATTTTGTGTTTTATTTATTTGGGAAATTTCAAAAGGGTGGTACCAATAATCTCAATCTTCCTTAGGGAGAAGTGGGTATTTATTCTATATTTTAGTTTTCCACCTTATACCAGAGCTGTAAGAGTAGCTACATTACCCTAATGTTCTGAAGAAGATAGCTTTTTGGGGAGTTGGGGATTTAGCTCAGTGGCATTGCCGCCTGCCTCACAAGCACAAGGTCCTCAGTTTGAGTCCCAGTACCACACGCACAAAAAAAGATAGCTTTCCAGTCCTACTTACCGGGTAGGCATGTAACAGCCCTGGAGCCATAATATAGGGATTAGGCAACAATGGCGGGACCCCAGGAGGGAGGTTGGGAGGAGCTTTTCCTAAAAGAGAAGCAATGTTTGATGTTGTCACACAGCTACACAGCTCTATCCCGGAGGAATGCCGTCCATTTATGTAAGGCTACCTGAAGTCGTAGCAACTGAGCTTCGAGTTGAGGCTGTGACGGTAGAGTTGCTGCCCAGGCTGAGGCCCAGACTGCTGCCACTATTGAGACTGGAAGAGACGCTGACCACTGGGGGAGGTGCAGAGACTGTGCTGGATGTGGTAGAGAAAGTGCTAGAGGAAGAATGGAGATTCGCTTCACTCTCCACACTTGTATGCTTCAAAAAGGAGAGCAATGGAAAAGAGGAGGAGGAAACAATTAGCAATAAAGGTAAAAAAGATAAACAATCCTTTCTACTGATGAGAGGAACCAGCCAACCTCCCAAAAGGAGCAAGGCAGGTTACCAGACCAACTCTGCCAAAGTAGAAAGAATCTCTAGCTACATCTTGTTTAAAATTCATCTGGCAGCTGGGCGTGGTGGCACATGCTGTAATCCCAGCACTATGGGAGGCTGAGGCAGGAGGGTCACAGGTCTGAGCCAACCCTGGGCAAGACCCTATTTCAAAATAAAATATAAAAAAAGTGCTAGGGATGTAGCTCAATGTGAAGCCCTGGATTCAATCCCCAGTGACAGAAAAAAAAAAAAAATCAACTAGCAAGGATAGTAACAGACACTTATCACAGGACACTATTATCCTGCTCAGACACATAGCAAAGTAGTGGGGACAAACACCCCAGAAACCCACACTACCTGGGCAGTGAGGGAGTAAAGAAGCTGAGATTTGAAAAATACCCCACACGGCTTTGCGCCATGGCACAATCGCAGCCAATGAGGTTTACCTGAAGCGTGATTACTGCTAACTGAAAAATACGCCACGGCCTTCCCTCCCACACTATTCTTCACAAGTTCCGTGTACAAGCCTATTTTATAGGCTAGAAGTACAGGTTCTCACGTTAAACCTCAAGTATTTGTATATTTGAGGACAGAAAGACTCCTAAGAAAGCCCTCACATCTTTCTCCTAAAATGGCCCCTTCCTTTATAACTGCAACTTAATTTCACATATAGATGCTATATATAAATCACCAACAATGAACTTTACTAAATACTCTCATCTGGCCCTCCTTTCCTAGGGACGTCACTTCACAGGGATTATAGTCAAGATTTAGGTTCAGCATACCGTAGGCAAAGGACAAGGACAGCTCTACCAGTTAAGAGTACTCTTACAGAATTTATCGGAGGATACACAAAGCTCTGTCTATCCTCAAGGGAAAAAGCCAGAAAGTCACTTCTGAGGCTTTTAGGCAATGTCTGGACTCTGGCCTCGCCTGACTTACCCTTCAACCTCAGTTGAATGATGACTTTACCGCCTCATGAAGTATTATCCAGAATTTCCTCTTAGGAGAGTTTAGGAGTGTGGGTAGTTACATTTCCTCAGTGTCACACTTACCAGGAGAGTGGACGTTGAAGTGCGCCCAGAAGATGTTGATGACGAAAGGGTGTTCTGCTGCGCAGACAACGTGCTGTAAGGAAAGAGGTTGCCAAGGGTACTGTGGTGATCTGAAACGGTGCTTCAGGCAAGAGCACACGCAACAACGGAAGGTGGAATATATGGCCAAGATGTCAGAGATCATACAGTGAGCACAACAGCCAGCCACAACAGTTGCAGCTAAGGCCAGGGCACACAGTGAAAGGGGAAAACAAGTTTCCTGTCTTCACTTCCCACAGCTTTTAGGTCACCCACTTGCCACAAAAGCAGGGCTAATGTCTCTCCAAGCAGACAGAATGAAACACCCAGAAAACTACCACTGAAACTCATCACCCCACCTCCACCCTCGCCCCGATTACCTGCTATGTTGCGTGGTGGTGGTGTTTGGAATCTCCTCACTGTGGCTCAAGCCACCCAAGGAGGATGAGTGCTGATTGGTGGTTGTCAGTAAGGAAGCTGCAGATACCGCTTCATTGAGAGGGGGGATGCTGGAAGTGGAAGGTGAGTCAGATTTCACTGCAGAGCCTGTAGCACCTGGAAATGAAGAAGAGCGCTGGGGATACAGCTCAATGGTGTAATGCTGCCTAGCACGCACCAGGCCCTAGGTCCAAAACCCAGCACCACCAAAACTAAAAAGCAGGTGAAGAAGCATCACTTCATCAGAAAGTATCTGTAAGTAAAAACTGACTATAGTCCTATGCTGCCCCAAAGACAAAGGAATAGGACTTATTGAGTCCTATAGAATCTGTTTTTTTTTAATTTAAGGCATTTCAGGGCTGGGGATTTAAGTCAGTGGATGCGCCACCTGCCTCGAAAGCACAAGGTCCCGAGTTCAATCCCCTGTACCAAAAATAAATAAATAAATAAATAAATAAATAAATAAATAAACAC